AAGTTATTTCTTACAGACATAATCATTTTTTCAAAATAAGAGTTAATTATAAAATTTTTTGGAATTTTGTTGCAGACTAATGAATGATATCGAGCAACAGGTAATGGTTGAGTTATGCCTTTAAACATCTCTAAACCGTCATGGTTGATCAGTGATGCTTTACCATGGAATATTTCACCTGCATATCCAATAATCCCACCATAAGCTTCTACTATTGCCTGATGACCTAAACAAATTCCTATTATAGGGATATGACCTTTAACTTTTTTTATCAAATCTAACATGCACCCAGCATTTTTAGGTAAACTAGGACCAGGTGATAACATTAGAATAGGGTTTTTTAGTTCTTTAAGAGATTTTAAAATAATATGAATATCTACTGTATTACGATAAATTAAAACATTATTTTTTTGGTTTCTAAGTTGTTCTACAAGATTATAAGTAAATGAGTCTATATTATCTAAGAGTAAAATATTTGCCATTTTTAAAAAAATCCTTTTATAGAATGTGCTTTTTTTATAGCATTTATTACAGCTTTTGCTTTATTTAAACTCTCTTTAACTTCATCTTGGGGGATTGAATTAAAAACAACACCAGCCCCTGCTTGGATTGTTGCAATATTATTTTCTACATAAGCTGATCGTATTGTTATACAAGTATCTAAATTTCCTAAATCAGTAAAATAACCTATAGCCCCCCATAGCTTCCTCTGCATTCCTTTTCATATTCAGCAATCAGTTGCATTGCACGTACCTTAGGTGCTCCAGTTAATGTTCCCATGTTCATACAAGCAGAATATGCATGAAGAGCATCTAATCTACCTCTTAATTTACCTACTACTTTAGAGACCAAATGCATTACATGAGAATACTTGTCTACCTTTACTAAATCTGAAACATATCTAGATCCTGGTTCACAAATACGTGCAAGATCATTTCGAGCTAAGTCTACAAGCATTAAATGTTCGGCTAATTCTTTATGATTAGTCCTCATTTCAAGTTCTATTCTACTATCTAAATCTAAATCTAGAGTTCCATCTTTTTTTCTACCCCTAGGTCTAGTACCAGCTATGGGATAAAGTTCTATTTGTCTTGTTTTTTCATCATACTTTAAAGAACTTTCTGGAGATGCTCCAAATAATATAAAACTTTCATCTTGCATGAAAAACATATAAGGACTAGGATTACTTTTTTTTAATTCTTGATAAGCTGCTAATGAATTATTACAAGGTAAGAAAAACTTTCGAGATGGTACAACTTGGAATATTTCACCTTTTTGAATTAATTTTTGAAGTTTTTTTATTATGGATGAATATTGCAAATCACTCATGTTTGAAGTTAATTCAATTTTTGAATTGAATTTATTTGCAGAGATAAAATTAAATTTTTCTTTAAGTTTTTTTTGTATTTGTTCTGTTCTCTTTTCAATTCTTTCTTTTTCATTTAAATTTTTGCTGAACAAACTACCTTGAATTAAACAAGTTTTTTTTGGTGATCTAAAATAAGCAATGTTTCTGCTAAATAAAAACAAAAATCTGGACATTTTTGATTTTTTTTTAAGTTTGGTAATAATTCGAAATTAGAAATAAGATCATAAGAAAATAATCCACCAAAAAATAATGCCTTACTAATTTTTTTCGTATTTTTAAAAATTTTTATGATGAATCTAAATGAATCAAATATTGATAATGAAAAAATCTTTTCATCTTCATCAATATTTTTTTTCATAGGTGGGAAAATAAAGTTAATACTATTATCTTTTTCAAAAATTTTTAATTGTTTATGAGGATTTTTCTTTAAAACAGATAATATTTCTGCTCCGTTAGCAGATAGAGCAGTTATGCTAACTAGGTTTTTTATGGCAGAAACACGTATTGCACTATCAACAATCATTATACTTTCTAAATCATTTTTTTTATTAACTTCCGCAGTTTCAAGTAACAATGTTGCTGATCTTGATCCACAAAGATGATTAAAAACTTTTGTAGGATCAGGATGATAGTTAGCCTTTTTTTGAATTATTTCAATTTCATATGGGCTTGTTGCCATTAATTTACATCTCTTTTTAATCAAAAAAATTTTGTTTGATTTTTTTCCATAATAACTAATTTATAAAATTAAAGCAAGATGATCATTTTTTATTTTTTTTAAAAAAAAGTGTATAATATATTTAAGTATATAATACATATGTTAAATAAAATGATACTAATACTTACTGTATATAAAAAAATAATAATAATTAAAAACTTTATATATAATATATATATTTTTTTTGTTTTTAAGGGAAGATAGTAAGAAGTTTTAACCTTTAACTAATTAGTTGTTTTTTAGTGTTTTTTTGTTTTTTATTATGCAGTATTTCCATATACTAAAAAACATATTATATACATATATACAGAACTTATCCCCAGACTTATGAACATGTTATTAACATGTATATTATAAGTTAAAAAAAAAATTTTTTTATAAAAAACATAATGTTACGTTATTTATATAGTTAATAAAGTTTAAATTTTGTATATTTTTTACTAAACTTATACACAGAAATTGTGGATAACTTTTTTAAAAAATTATTTGGTTTTTTTATCTTATAAAAAATAGATTATTTTATAAGAATTTTCTTTATGAAAATCTTATATTTTATATCAATAATTTTTTCCTATTTTTGTTTTTGCATTTGATAGTTATTAATTATTTTTTTTATAAGTAATTAAACTGTGATTTTTATTGCTCGAATATTTTCAGATACATGTTTACTTGAATCTGGAAGGCTATAGTTTAAAAAAAATTATTAGAGAAGGGAGTATATCTGAGGAGATTTTTGATAAGTTTGAATTGAATAACAGCTCATTCTGTTATAAATTTATCGTATTTAACGATAAATAAGTTTTTATATATGTAGTATAAAACAGTTTAAAAAAATAATTTTAAATTGAATCGATTTACTACAGTGTTAAATTAAATATAGCATATTAAATTATTTTTGATATTTATGTTTTTTTAATTCCTATTAATCGTAAAAAATTACTTCTAATAATTATTTTAAGTCTTTTTTTATATATTCAAATATGTAATCTTTAATAAACTTTAATCAATTCTTTCTCAAGTTCATATAAACCAAAAACCATACTAAGTTTTTTTTCAAAAACTTAGTCTTTTCTGTGAAGGGGGATGTTTTTTGTGTATTTTCTTTAATTTTTCTTCTTCATCTAAGATATATTAATATTGTTTTAATATTTTTTTTTCAATTATTGGAGCTTTAATTTTTATATTAAAATTACATTAGACGTATTTTTATATGTTTTTTTTGATTTTAAAAATATTTAGTTGTTAAACTATAAATAGTATAGGAATATTTATTTTTTAGAAAATCGATATGGGAACTTCAAAATAATAACATTTTTAATAAAATATTTTTTATTCTTTAATATATTTTAACGATGCCCAACTAATAATTTTTTCTAATATCTGATCTCCGCAAGTTGTTAAAATAGATTCGGGGTGAAATTGAAAACCACATACTCGATCTAAGTTATTTCTTACAGACATAATCATTTTTTCAAAATAAGAGTTAATTATAAAATTTTTTGGAATTTTGTTGCAGACTAATGAATGATATCGAGCAACAGGTAATGGTTGAGTTATGCCTTTAAACATCTCTAAACCGTCATGGTTGATCAGTGATGCTTTACCATGGAATATTTCACCTGCATATCCAATAATCCCACCATAAGCTTCTACTATTGCCTGATGACCTAAACAAATTCCTATTATAGGGATATGACCTTTAACTTTTTTTATCAAATCTAACATGCACCCAGCATTTTTAGGTAAACTAGGACCAGGTGATAACATTAGAATAGGGTTTTTTAGTTCTTTAAGAGATTTTAAAATAATATGAATATCTACTGTATTACGATAAATTAAAACATTATTTTTTTGGTTTCTAAGTTGTTCTACAAGATTATAAGTAAATGAGTCTATATTATCTAAGAGTAAAATATTTGCCATTTTTAAAAAAATCCTTTTATAGAATGTGCTTTTTTTATAGCATTTATTACAGCTTTTGCTTTATTTAAACTCTCTTTAACTTCATCTTGGGGGATTGAATTAAAAACAACACCAGCCCCTGCTTGGATTGTTGCAATATTATTTTCTACATAAGCTGATCGTATTGTTATACAAGTATCTAAATTTCCTAAATCAGTAAAATAACCTATAGCCCCCCATAGCTTCCTCTGCATTCCTTTTCATATTCAGCAATCAGTTGCATTGCACGTACCTTAGGTGCTCCAGTTAATGTTCCCATGTTCATACAAGCAGAATATGCATGAAGAGCATCTAATCTACCTCTTAATTTACCTACTACTTTAGAGACCAAATGCATTACATGAGAATACTTGTCTACCTTTACTAAATCTGAAACATATCTAGATCCTGGTTCACAAATACGTGCAAGATCATTTCGAGCTAAGTCTACAAGCATTAAATGTTCGGCTAATTCTTTATGATTAGTCCTCATTTCAAGTTCTATTCTACTATCTAAATCTAAATCTAGAGTTCCATCTTTTTTTCTACCCCTAGGTCTAGTACCAGCTATGGGATAAAGTTCTATTTGTCTTGTTTTTTCATCATACTTTAAAGAACTTTCTGGAGATGCTCCAAATAATATAAAACTTTCATCTTGCATGAAAAACATATAAGGACTAGGATTACTTTTTTTTAATTCTTGATAAGCTGCTAATGAATTATTACAAGGTAAGAAAAACTTTCGAGATGGTACAACTTGGAATATTTCACCTTTTTGAATTAATTTTTGAAGTTTTTTTATTATGGATGAATATTGCAAATCACTCATGTTTGAAGTTAATTCAATTTTTGAATTGAATTTATTTGCAGAGATAAAATTAAATTTTTCTTTAAGTTTTTTTTGTATTTGTTCTGTTCTCTTTTCAATTCTTTCTTTTTCATTTAAATTTTTGCTGAACAAACTACCTTGAATTAAACAAGTTTTTTTTGGTGATCTAAAATAAGCAATGTTTCTGCTAAATAAAAACAAAAATCTGGACATTTTTGATTTTTTTTTAAGTTTGGTAATAATTCGAAATTAGAAATAAGATCATAAGAAAATAATCCACCAAAAAATAATGCCTTACTAATTTTTTTCGTATTTTTAAAAATTTTTATGATGAATCTAAATGAATCAAATATTGATAATGAAAAAATCTTTTCATCTTCATCAATATTTTTTTTCATAGGTGGGAAAATAAAGTTAATACTATTATCTTTTTCAAAAATTTTTAATTGTTTATGAGGATTTTTCTTTAAAACAGATAATATTTCTGCTCCGTTAGCAGATAGAGCAGTTATGCTAACTAGGTTTTTTATGGCAGAAACACGTATTGCACTATCAACAATCATTATACTTTCTAAATCATTTTTTTTATTAACTTCCGCAGTTTCAAGTAACAATGTTGCTGATCTTGATCCACAAAGATGATTAAAAACTTTTGTAGGATCAGGATGATAGTTAGCCTTTTTTTGAATTATTTCAATTTCATATGGGCTTGTTGCCATTAATTTACATCTCTTTTTAATCAAAAAAATTTTGTTTGATTTTTTTCCATAATAACTAATTTATAAAATTAAAGCAAGATGATCATTTTTTATTTTTTTTTAAAAAAAGTGTATAATATATTTAAGTATATAATACATATGTTAAATAAAATGATACTAATACTTACTGTATATAAAAAAATAATAATAATTAAAAACTTTATATATAATATATATATTTTTTTTGTTTTTAAGGGAAGATAGTAAGAAGTTTTAACCTTTAACTAATTAGTTGTTTTTTAGTGTTTTTTTGTTTTTTATTATGCAGTATTTCCATATACTAAAAAACATATTATATACATATATACAGAACTTATCCCCAGACTTATGAACATGTTATTAACATGTATATTATAAGTTAAAAAAAAAATTTTTTTATAAAAAACATAATGTTACGTTATTTATATAGTTAATAAAGTTTAAATTTTGTATATTTTTTACTAAACTTATACACAGAAATTGTGGATAACTTTTTTAAAAAATTATTTGGTTTTTTTATCTTATAAAAAATAGATTATTTTATAAGAATTTTCTTTATGAAAATCTTATATTTTATATCAATAATTTTTTCCTATTTTTGTTTTTGCATTTGATAGTTATTAATTATTTTTTTTATAAGTAATTTAACTGTGATTTTTATTGCTCGAATATTTTCAGATACATGTTTACTTGAATCTGGAAGGCTATAGTTTAAAAAAAATTATTAGAGAAGGGAGTATATCTGAGGAGATTTTTGATAAGTTTGAATTGAATAACAGCTCATTCTGTTATAAATTTATCGTATTTAACGATAAATAAGTTTTTATATATGTAGTATAAAACAGTTTAAAAAAATAATTTTAAATTGAATCGATTTACTACAGTGTTAAATTAAATATAGCATATTAAATTATTTTTGATATTTATGTTTTTTTAATTCCTATTAATCGTAAAAAATTACTTCTAATAATTATTTTAAGTCTTTTTTTATATATTCAAATATGTAATCTTTAATAAACTTTAATCAATTCTTTCTCAAGTTCATATAAACCAAAAACCATACTAAGTTTTTTTTCAAAAACTTAGTCTTTTCTGTGAAGGGGGATGTTTTTTGTGTATTTTCTTTAATTTTTCTTCTTCATCTAAGATATATTAATATTGTTTTAATATTTTTTTTTCAATTATTGGAGCTTTAATTTTTATATTAAAATTACATTAGACGTATTTTTATATGTTTTTTTTGATTTTAAAAATATTTAGTTGTTAAACTATAAATAGTATAGGAATATTTATTTTTTAGAAAATCGATATGGGAACTTCAAAATAATAACATTTTTAATAAAATATTTTTTATTCTTTAATATATTTTAACGATGCCCAACTAATAATTTTTTCTAATATCTGATCTCCGCAAGTTGTTAAAATAGATTCGGGGTGAAATTGAAAACCACATACTCGATCTAAGTTATTTCTTACAGACATAATCATTTTTTCAAAATAAGAGTTAATTATAAAATTTTTTGGAATTTTGTTGCAGACTAATGAATGATATCGAGCAACAGGTAATGGTTGAGTTATGCCTTTAAACATCTCTAAACCGTCATGGTTGATCAGTGATGCTTTACCATGGAATATTTCACCTGCATATCCAATAATCCCACCATAAGCTTCTACTATTGCCTGATGACCTAAACAAATTCCTATTATAGGGATATGACCTTTAACTTTTTTTATCAAATCTAACATGCACCCAGCATTTTTAGGTAAACTAGGACCAGGTGATAACATTAGAATAGGGTTTTTTAGTTCTTTAAGAGATTTTAAAATAATATGAATATCTACTGTATTACGATAAATTAAAACATTATTTTTTTGGTTTCTAAGTTGTTCTACAAGATTATAAGTAAATGAGTCTATATTATCTAAGAGTAAAATATTTGCCATTTTTAAAAAAATCCTTTTATAGAATGTGCTTTTTTTATAGCATTTATTACAGCTTTTGCTTTATTTAAACTCTCTTTAACTTCATCTTGGGGGATTGAATTAAAAACAACACCAGCCCCTGCTTGGATTGTTGCAATATTATTTTCTACATAAGCTGATCGTATTGTTATACAAGTATCTAAATTTCCTAAATCAGTAAAATAACCTATAGCCCCCCATAGCTTCCTCTGCATTCCTTTTCATATTCAGCAATCAGTTGCATTGCACGTACCTTAGGTGCTCCAGTTAATGTTCCCATGTTCATACAAGCAGAATATGCATGAAGAGCATCTAATCTACCTCTTAATTTACCTACTACTTTAGAGACCAAATGCATTACATGAGAATACTTGTCTACCTTTACTAAATCTGAAACATATCTAGATCCTGGTTCACAAATACGTGCAAGATCATTTCGAGCTAAGTCTACAAGCATTAAATGTTCGGCTAATTCTTTATGATTAGTCCTCATTTCAAGTTCTATTCTACTATCTAAATCTAAATCTAGAGTTCCATCTTTTTTTCTACCCCTAGGTCTAGTACCAGCTATGGGATAAAGTTCTATTTGTCTTGTTTTTTCATCATACTTTAAAGAACTTTCTGGAGATGCTCCAAATAATATAAAACTTTCATCTTGCATGAAAAACATATAAGGACTAGGATTACTTTTTTTTAATTCTTGATAAGCTGCTAATGAATTATTACAAGGTAAGAAAAACTTTCGAGATGGTACAACTTGGAATATTTCACCTTTTTGAATTAATTTTTGAAGTTTTTTTATTATGGATGAATATTGCAAATCACTCATGTTTGAAGTTAATTCAATTTTTGAATTGAATTTATTTGCAGAGATAAAATTAAATTTTTCTTTAAGTTTTTTTTGTATTTGTTCTGTTCTCTTTTCAATTCTTTCTTTTTCATTTAAATTTTTGCTGAACAAACTACCTTGAATTAACAAGTTTTTTTTGGTGATCTAAAATAAGCAATGTTTCTGCTAAATAAAAACAAAAATCTGGACATTTTTGATTTTTTTTTAAGTTTGGTAATAATTCGAAATTAGAAATAAGATCATAAGAAAATAATCCACCAAAAAATAATGCCTTACTAATTTTTTCGTATTTTTAAAAATTTTTTATGATGAATCTAAATGAATCAAATATTGATAATGAAAAATCTTTTTCATCTTCATCAATTTTTTTTTTCATAGGTGGGAAAATAAAGTTAATACTATTATCTTTTTCAAAAATTTTTAATTGTTTATGAGGATTTTTCTTTAAAACAGATAATATTTCTGCTCCGTTAGCAGATAGAGCAGTTATGCTAACTAGGTTTTTTATGGCAGAAACACGTATTGCACTATCAACAATCATTATACTTTCTAAATCATTTTTTTATTAACTTCCGCAGTTTCAAGTAACAATGTTGCTGATCTTGATCCACAAAGATGATTAAAAACTTTTGTAGGATCAGGATGATAGTTAGCCTTTTTTTGAATTATTTCAATTTCATATGGGCTTGTTGCCATTAATTTACATCTCTTTTTAATCAAAAAATTTTGTTTGATTTTTTTCCATAATAACTAATTTATAAAATTAAAGCAAGATGATCATTTTTTATTTTTTTTAAAAAAAAGTGTATAATATATTTAAGTATATAATACATATGTTAAATAAAATGATACTAATACTTACTGTATATAAAAAAATAATAATAATTAAAAACTTTATATATAATATATATATTTTTTTTGTTTTTAAGGGAAGATAGTAAGAAGTTTTAACCTTTAACTAATTAGTTGTTTTTTAGTGTTTTTTTGTTTTGTATTATGCAGGTATTTCCATATACTAAAAAACATATTATATACATATATACAGAACTTATCCCCAGACTTATGAACATGTTATTAACATGTATATTATAAGTTAAAAAAAAAATTTTTTTATAAAAAACATAATGTTACGTTATTTATATAGTTAATAAAGTTTAAATTTTGTATATTTTTTACTACACTTATACACAGAAATTGTGGATAACTTTTTTAAAAAATTATTTGGTTTTTTTATCTTATAAAAAATAGATTATTTTATAAGAATTTTCTTTATGACAATCTTATATTTTATATCAATAATTTTTTCCTATTTTTGTTTTTGCATTTGATAGTTATTAATTATTTTTTTTATAAGTAATTAAACTGTGATTTTTATTGCTCGAATATTTTCAGATACATGTTTACTTGAATCTGGAAGGCTATAGTTTAAAAAAAAATTATAGAGAAGGGAGTATATCTGAGGAGATTTTTGATAGTTTGAATTGAATAACAGCTCTTCGGTAAATTTATCGTATTTTAACAATAAATAGTTTTTATATATGTAGTATAAAACAGTTTAAAAAAATAAATTGTAAATGAATCGATTTACTACAGTGTGTTAAATGAAATATAGCATATAATTATTTTTGATATTTATGTTTTTTAATTACTATTAATGCGTAAAAAATTACTTCCTAATATTATTTTAAGTCTTTTTTGAATATGCAAATATGTAATCTTAATAAACTTTAATCATTCTTTCTTCTCAAGTTCATATAAACCAAAAAACATACTAAAGTTTTTTTGTTCAAAAACTTAGTCTTTTCTGTGAAGGGGGATTTTTTTGTGTATTTTCTCTTTAATTTTCTTCTTCATCTAGATATATAAATATTGTTTTAATATTTTTTTTTCAATTATTGGAGCTTTAATTTTTATATTTAAATTACATTAGACGTATTTTTATATGTTTTTTTTGATTTTAAAAATATTTAGTTGTTAAACTATAAATAGTATAGGAATAGTATTTTTTAGAAAATCGATATGGGAACTTCAAAATAATAACATTTTTAATAAAATATTTTTTATTCTTTAATATATTTTAACGATGCCCAACTAATTATTTTTTCTAATATCTGATCTCCGCAAGTTGTTAAAATAGATTCGGGGTGAAATTGAAAACCACATACTCGATCTAAGTTATTTCTTACAGACATAATCATTTTTTCAAAATACGAGTTAATTATAAAATTTTTTGGAATTTTGTTGCAGACTAATGAATGATATCGAGCAACAGGTAATGGTTGAGTTATGCCTTTAAACATCTCTAAACCGTCATGGTTGATCAGTGATGCTTTACCATGGAATATTTCACCTGCATATCCAATAATCCCACCATAAGCTTCTACTATTGCCTGATGACCTAAACCAATTCCTATTATAGGGATATGACCTTTAACTTTTTTTATCAAATCTAACATGCACCCAGCATTTTTAGGTAAACTAGGACCAGGTGATAACATTAGAATAGGGTTTTTTAGTTCTTTAAGAGATTTTAAAATAATATGAATATCTACTGTATTACGATAAATTAAAACATTATTTTTTTGGTTTCTTAGTTGTTCTACAAGATTATAAGTAAATGAGTCTATATTATCTAAGAGTAAAATATTTGCCATTTTTAAAAAAATCCTTTTATAGAATGTGCTTTTTTTATAGCATTTATTACAGCTTGTGCTTTATTTAACTCTCTTTAACTCATCTTGGGGGATGGAATAAAAACACACCAGCAACCTGCTTGGATTGTTGCAATATTATTTTCTACATAAGCTGATCGTATTGGTATACAAGTATCTAAATTTCCTAAATCAGTAAAATAACCTATAGCCCCCCATAGCTTCCTCTGCATTCCTTTTCATATTCAGCAATCAGTTGCATTGCACGTACCTTAGGGGCTCCAGTTAATGTTCCCATGTTCATACAAGCAGAATATGCATGAAGAGCATCTAATCTACCTCTTAATTTACCTACTACTTTAGAGACCAAATGCCTTACATGAGAATACTTGTCTACCTTTACTAAATCTGAAACATATCTAGATCCTGGTTCACAAATACGTGCAAGATCATTTCGAGCTAAGTCTACAAGCATTAAATGTTCGGCTAATTCTTTATGATTAGTCCTCATTTCAAGGTCTATTCTACTATCTAAATCTAAATCTAGAGTTCCATCTTTTTTTCTACCCCTAGGTCTAGTACCAGCTATGGGATAAAGTTCTATTTGTCTTGTTTTTTCATCATACTTTAAAGAACTTTCTGGAGATGCTCCAAATAATATAAAACTTTCATCTTGCATGAAAAACATATAAGGACTAGGATTACTTTTTTTTAATTCTTGATAAGCTGCTAATGAATTATTCAAGGTAAGAAAAAACTTTCGAGATGGTACAACTTGGAATATTTCACCTTTTTGAATTAATTTTTGGAGTTTTTTTATTATGGATGAATATTGCAAATCACTCATGTTTGAAGTTAATTCAATTTTTGAATTGAATTTATTTGCAGAGATAAAATTAAATTTTTCTTTAAGTTTTTTTTGTATTTGTTCTGTTCTCTTTTCAATTCTTTCTTTTTCATTTAAATTTTTGCTGAACAAACTACCCTTGAATTAAACAAGTTTTTTTGGTGATCTAAAATAAGCCAATGTTTCTGCTAAATAAAAACAAAATCTGGAACATTTTTTGATTTTTTTTAAGTTTGGTAATAATTCGAAATTAGAAATAAGATCATAAGAAAATAATCCACAAAAATAATGCCTACTATTTTTTTCGTATTTTTAAAAATTTTTATGATGAATCTAAATGAATCAAATATTGATAATGAAAAAATCTTTTCATCTTCATCAATATTTTTTTTCATAGGTGGGAAAATAAAGTTAATACTATTATCTTTTTCAAAATTTTAATTGTGTTATGAGGATTTTTTCTTTAAACAGATAATATTTCTGCTCCGTTAGCAGATAGAGCAGTTATGCTAACTAGGTTTTTTATGGCGGAAACACGTATTGCACTATCAACAATCATTATACTTTCTAAATCATTTTTTTTATTAACTTCCGCAGCATTTCAAGTAACAATGTTGCTGATCCTTGATCCACAAAGATGATTAAAAACTTTTGTAGATCAGGATGATAGTTAGCCTTTTTTGAAATTATTTCAATTTCATATGGGCTTGTTGCCATTAATTTCATCTCTTTTTAATCAAAAAATTTTGTTGATTTTTTTCCATAATAACTAATTTATAAAATTAAAGCAAGATGATCATTTTTTATTTTTTTTAAAAAAAAGTGTATAATATACTTTAAGTATATAATACATAGTTTAAATAAATGATACTAATACTTACTGGATATAAAAAAATAATAATAATTACAAACTTTATATAATATATATATTTTTTTTGTTTTTAAGGGAAGATAGTAAGAAGTTTTACCTTTAACTATTAGTTGTTTTTTAGTGTTTTTTTGTTTTTTATTATGCAGTATTTCCATATACTAAAAAACATATTATATACATATATACAGAACTTATCCCCAGACTTATGAACATTATTAACATGTATATTAAAGTTAAAAAAAAATTTTTTATAAAAAAACATAATGTTACGTTATTTATATAGTTAATAAAGTTTAAATTTTGTATATTTTTTACTTAACTTATACACAGAAATTGTGGATAACTTTTTTAAAAAATTATTTGGTTTTTTTATCTTATAAAAATAGATTATTTTATAAGAATTTTCTTTATGAAATCTTATTTTTTATTTTATATCATAATTTTTCCTATTTTTGTTTTTGCATTTGATAGTTATTAATTATTTTTTTTATAAGTAATTAAACTGTGATTTTTATTGCTCGAATATTTTCAGATACATGTTTACTTGAATCTGGAAGGCTATAGTTTAAAAAAAAATTATAGAGAAGGAGTATATCTGAGGAGATTTTTGATAAGTTTGAATTGAATAACAGCTCATTCTGTTATAAATTTATCGTATTTAACGATAAATAAGTTTTTATATATGTAGTATAAAACAGTTTAAAAAAATAATTTTAAATTGAATCGATTTACTACAGTGTTAAATTAAATATAGCATATTAAATTATTTTTGATATTTATGTTTTTTAATTCTATTATCGTAAAAAATTACTTCTAATAATTATTTTAAGTCTTTTTTTATATATTCAAATATGTAATCTTTAATAAACTTTAATCAATTCTTTCTCAAGTTCATATAAACCAAAAACCATACTAAGTTTTTTTTCAAAAACTTAGTCTTTTCTGTGAAGGGGGATGTTTTTTGTGTATTTTCTTTAATTTTTCTTCTTCATCTAAGATATATTAATATTGTTTTAATATTTTTTTTTCAATTATTGGAGCTTTAATTTT